GAAGGTGTAAGTATGCACACAGCCACGTTGAGAATTCCAAGGTCTTGGACTCCTGGGAAATTGACAAAGCCATTACTTATTTTAGCCAGGCTGAAGACAGGTGGGTGACAAAATTCTTTTGAGAATCTGAGTGTGAGTGTTTATGAATGATGGACCTTTATGTGCAAAGCCTAGTAACAGTTTCTTCCCCTTCACAGATGTTTACAAGCAGATACTGCTCACCTAGAGATCCATCCTATTGAGATTAGCTAATCCCTTATCTTTGCTGTATCTAATAAACACCCTGAGTTTCCAAACTATGGCCATAGTGGTTAGAGAACTCCACACTGTCTTGGTTTCAACGTATGTGTGTTTGCCTTTATTCCCTCACCTTCATGCCCCTGGCAGGGTTCCAGGACCCAAGCCACACAGGATGCAGCAAAAATGCATGCATACGGGTGCTCAGCTTGCTTTCCCTATTGTATAGACTTCAGAATCCTCAGCCCAGGGAATGGTCCCACCCACAGTTAAGACTCAGCTTTGTGTCTTCCCACATGTGTGTTAATAAAAGTCATCTGCAAATCTATCATCCAGGAAAGTCTAGATTCTGTCAAGTTGATAGCGCCAAACATCACACCTTGTACCAAGCTTTTTTCAATTACGGGCTTCTATGAACTACTTAAACTTCAACCCAAAGAGAGTACTATCCTTTTTGAGAGGTGTACTATGACCAGTGGCCAGCTACAACTGTTCATAATAAGCCTCGGTGACTGTGATCGATCTAAAATGGAAGCTGTAATTGGCCAATACTCCTTCTTGGGCTTTGTAAGTGGGCTACCTAATCACCAACTTGGCCAAGACACATTCCCATGCTGCCTCCCCTAGTGTTGCAATATCAGGTCCAAAATAAACTTCTCTTCAGTAGTCTTTATTTTTTTTCTTTCAGTAAGAACTGGAATCTGAAAATAAAAAAAACTGCAACAGCAACAGCGAGGACAATATCATCCACAATTTGATAGCTGAATGTCCCATGAACAGTTAAAATGACACTTATTAGTATATATTAGCCTGCCCATCCAATATCACTTACCTTATCTATTGCTGGGCTCTTGAAGGTCCCAGCATCATTCTCCAACCCCGAGGCCTGGCCTTCGGGGAAAAAGTGTCTGTTTTCTAGTGGTTCATGACCATCCTGCTTGCACTGAGCCTCTGCTCCTAAGCCCCGAGTCTTGGTTTTACTAGCACAAAGCCCTGATAACCTGTGCTTAAACACTTAGAAGTGAAGCTTCTTTGTGATGGCCTTGGACCTGCCCATGGTCATTACTCACCCACTTGAGTAATCCACACTACCACCCAGATTACTCCCTGATCCTTCATGTATATCCCATCTTCTAAGAATAATGGGAGGGAATTTTTGCCCTTGGACGAACCCAGCTGCACTCAGTGTCAGGTCCCGGCTGTCCTTCTGGTACCTTGGATTCCTCAGGATCTTCTAACAGATGCAGATATCCTGAGTCCTGGAGGCAACCACTGACAATGGAATCATCACCAAACAGTGTGAGCACAGCAGGGCAGGAAGAAGGGAAGGGGAAGCAGAGATGGCATGAAAGAGAGAAGAGCTGATAATAATCTGTAGTCCCTGATCTTCAAGGATCTTTGATGCCTGAAAGAGAGCTATAATTCTGGTCACAGACAAGTGTCCACAAACTTAAGGCCTGCATGAAGACTGTAGCATTTCAGGGTGATACTTGCTTCTGCTTCCGTATGCCTGCTGGAAGATGAAGACTGAAAAGGTAGCTACCAGAGTTCAATATTGAGAAGCTTTTTCGCTGACCATTGATTTCTATTTTGGTGGAGCAGAATAACCCTTCAGTCATTATTCTATATTATTCACAGCAATAAACTATGTCTTCCATGTCAAATGTGCATGTAAATTCATAGATACAATTGCATACTCATGTAAAACTTATCCAGTGAAGTTAGATTCAAGGAAAAAATTCCTTAAGGGTGCACATGTGAAAACATATTTGAAAACCAGGGTTACTGAGCAGAGTATTATTAGATAATGCCTTGTCTCTTGTAAGGTTGCACAGGCATTTATATAGTATGTGTCCTAGTTATGTTTTTATTGCTAAGACTATGACCAAAGGCAGCATGGGAAAGAAAAGGGTTTATTTCATCTTACAGCTCTTGGGTCATATCTCATCACTGAGGGAAGTCAGCCCAGGAACCTGGAGGCAGAAGCTGAAGCAGAGGGCCCACAGGGATGCTTCTTATACAGCCTTTTTTCCTGTATCACCCAGGGCTACCTGCCCAGGGGCAGAAGCAGTCACAATGAGCTGCACCCTCCCTCGTCAATCATTAAGCAAAGTAACACCCAACAGACTTGTCTGTGGGCAAATCTCACTGAGGTATCTTCTCAATCATGCTTCAGTCTTCTCAGATAATTCCAGCTTGTTTCAAGGTGACATAAAACTATGCTGTACCCTAGCCTAGGTTAGTTTCCTGAGAATGAGGCTATTTCTCATTTAAGGCCTTATTTTGCTCATTTTGAAGTTTGATAACTTTAATAAAACATGCTCATTACTGACTGCTCCAAATCAGAATCAGTTTTTTTGGGGGGGGGGCATCAAGGATATTTCTGGAACATCTGGCAACCTCTCCCTAGTTGGTCAGGGTGAGTAGTGTGAGTGAAGGTGTTGCCTTTTTAACTCTATAAGGAACTTTGGTGCAAGCAGGGGATGAATATGGAATGGGGGACCTCTGGGCCTTGACTGGAGGGAAGGAAGGAAGGATGTATGTGGTTTTAGTGGAGGGGAGAACCTCCAAACGGAAGACTCTGGGAGGAGCATGTTTTGGGTGGCCTTGTAGTGCAATGTCAAGGTTATGCTGACATGGTTAGAACCCATCCAGTCTTAAAGCTGAAGGGAGAAGATGGGTAAGAATCAGGCTGCGTCACCACCTCACTGGCCCACAGAAGAAACACGACTCTGGGCAGGATTTCTGCACGTTTGTCTGATAGTTGATAACAACTTCTGCTGGATTTGACGTTCCTGACCTCCCTTCCAGCTCTCTCTTTCTCCATCTCTCATTTCCTCTGCCCCTGTGTGTGTGTGTGTGTGTGTGTGTGTGTGTGTGTGTGTGTGTATGAGAGAGAGAAAGAGAGAGAGAGAGGGGGAGGGAGAGAGAGAATGTGTAGGCATCTCTATCTCTGGAAGCCTCCTTGGTCTAGTAGATCTACTGGGAACAGTGTTGCTCAAAGGACTGGAGGTAAGTGAGCGATCTTCTGAGGTTCACCTGCTAGCGGAGGTTCCAGGCTTTTCTGGGATGGGCTCAGGCTGACTGACTGGGTGGGCTACAGGCTGGAGAACAAGACTGGAGATGAGCTACGGGGAAGCCTGGTTTCAATTGTCTGGAGTGAATGGGTCCCAGGATGGGTATGAAGTAGAGTATACTACATTGTGGAATCTAATGAAGGGCCTTTCCATGGGATGATAATGACTGGCTGCATGGTCTGAAGGGACACTGGTATTTTTGCACCATTTTCTCAGCCTGGGCTTCTGTGCCAGGCGTCTGTTTGATGTCTGTGTCCACTCTGACTGCCACTGTCTGAACAGCTGCTTGTGTAGTATTTCTGGGAGGATTTGTGGCTGGTAGCGACACCACAGGGCTGCTTCTCATGCCTATCCCTGGGAACTTCCCCTCTTGACCCAGAGCAGGTGGATCTCCTGTTGCTGGAAATGGGGAGCAGATGCCAGTTGGGGGCCTTGGTGTCATGGTGTCCCAGGGGCTGTGTGGTGTCTGTTGTGCTTGCAGTCTTTACCGGATGTCACAGGCTCTACCTGAAGTCGCCTGCCTGTACTGATGGTGGTGGAGCCGACTGATCCTGTCTGCCTGTAGCTTCTCCCCTGAAGGGTCGGCTTTGGTGGAGAGTCCCGAGTCAAGATGAGAGAGTAAGGATGGCCTCCCCCAAGTTACCAAGGAGTATAGAAACTCAGGGCAGCTGAGTGGTTGGGGCTTAGCACTAAGCCAGGCAGAGTCTGTGTCTGAGCGCTGAGGTTTGGAGAGCAGTTTTGGTTGCAGCTTTTCTTATAGTGGTAGTTCCAGCCATACCCACTGTGATACCAACTTCTTCAAAATCCTCTCAGGTCCTCAGAGCCTTCTTGGCTTTGGACATGGTGGCTTTCTCCTGTGGACAGAGCATGTGTCACAGCCTCAGGAGCACTGAGAAGCCTCAGGGCAAGTTTTATGTGTGGTGTATGACACTGTGGTAATATCCGCTATAGTAACCCACAGTGCCTCAGGCTGGAACAAATTCTCCTGTGACTACTTCCAGTCATCTTTATAGCAAAGGGGTCCCTGGGGTGACACTAATTCCAGCAGTCCATAGCCCTCCACACTGGGAGGGATGTCACGAGTGGGCCAGGTTGATAGGTCCCTAGGTCCCCTTTCCATTTGTTATATGGTGCTGTGTGTGTGTGTGTGTGTGTGTGTGTGTGTGTGTGTGTGTGTGTGTGTGTGTAAATCCTGGCTCTGTCCCTACTTAGGCTGTTCCTGTCCTTTTAGAATGGAGAGTGAGGTGAGCCATCCAAGAGGTATTTGCACAACTAGACAATCTCACCTAAAGATAGTAGGAGTGGCTTAGATATGATTCTGGCTCACTGAATTTCTCTGTGGGCCATGTACCCCAAACTTACCATGGTTCAGATTCTAGAAGAAAATTCTTGGCCCGTGGCTTCTTTACTTGGCAGGGTTTTGTGTGTCTCCTGGGTCTGTTTCCCTTGTAGTGTGACTCCTTCAACCCTGGGTTCTTTTCTGCTAAGAATCCTGCCCCAGTGCAGAATGGCTTCTCTGTGTGGGGTTGTACCATGTCCAGTGGGGCCACTGCCTGAACCTGCTATCATCACTCTTGTACAATCCCTGACACAGCAGAGTCTTGGTCTATCAACCCTGACTCAACTGGGGCTGTCTAGTCTCAGAGCTAATACCCCTGGCCAAGCTTACGGTCCCACATATCCTACCTGGATAGCCACTGTACTTGACAGGCCCGGGGTTTGGGGACGGATACGAACCTCGTAGAAGATATTCCATAGTGGGGGGCTGCACACAGAATCCTCCTCTGTCACATTGTGATGGCTCATGGGTCTGGAACCTTTCCAACTGCTGTCTGCTTTTCCTCTAACTGCCCTCTGTCCATAGATGCCCTGTGGCTCTGTGAGAGATGGGATATGAGGCAGGTGGATGTCTATTGGCCAACAGTGAGCCAGATTTGGAGGCATGTTGTGATGCTTCCTAGGCCATGAGGGTCAGTTCAGCAAACACAGGACCTGCTGGTTGTTAGTACCCTAGTGAGAAACACATTATAGCTTTGCAGTGGCATGATTTCAAACCACTTGGTTCTGATGTGCAATGCTGAACATACTTCCCTGTGCTTCTGTGGCTGGGAAGACAAAGAGAAAGTAGAGGGGATAACTGAGAGAGTACTAGAGACCCACAAAGGGCCTCTCAGGACAGGTATCCTTGGATAATGGCAATAGTCTACCGAGGAGCCAAAATGGCCAATCCTGTCCCAAGCAGGGAGCCAGGGGGACAGATTTTTCAATAGTCTCCTTGGTCTTTCCTGTCCTTAAGCAAGGCAAATTTAGAGGGGTAGATCTTCACCCCAGAGAAGCTTAAGTCACGTTCTCTGGGTGTGGAGCCACAGGGAGGTGACCATTGGCATTCTGTCCCTTGACTGAACCATGATTGTCTAAGAATCAGGCACAGGACATTTTTTCGGGCTGAGAAAGCCTTCTTCCCTTTTTACCCCTATCAGCTCCTTTGTAGATGAAGTTAGTCCCACACTCAGGAACCTGCTCCAATTAGTCTTGCAGGAAAAGTACAGGCTCCTCATAGTCCCCAAGTGCATGATGAGCTCCATTCCGAGGGTGTGGTGGTGGTGGGGACAACTTTGTCTTTTGTGTGCCAGCCAGTCAAGATGGCCATATCAAGGGTTTCTGGATAGTTGCTGAAGCTGTCTGAGTCTAGCTTGGAGTGTTTCCAGGTCTGATAGAAATATCTTTAGGGCTCTTCCTATAGGGAGGGGAAATTTGTATAGGTGTAGATCAGAGTGGCTTCTGGTTGTGTCCCTGGCCTCTGAGAAAGAGAGGCTGTTGGGAGCAGATCTTGGGGTACTACAAGGACACTGTGGTCTGTGGGAAATGCTGTGTTGGTTTAGTGTCAGTCAACGTGCCTCAGCGGTCAAGATTCATTTACAGACCCTTAGGTGCCAGCGGCTCTAGGCCCACTGTTGTTTGGAGCTGATGCATCTGCTGGGGCCAAAGTTTCCTACTGGGTTTTTGCTGCTGGGTGAACCACTGTGGTAGTTACCATAATTATCACAGTAGAACATCCCTTCACAAAAAGCCCTGCCTAGGGTCCAGTGGCCACACAGGTATCGGTGCAGACTTGAGCTATCCTGGGCATAAGTCCAGCCTTCTCTCCTGGGCTTGTATCTCTCCAGGAAGGCCCTGGCAGGAACCTGGGTCTGAGGCTTCCACAGAAGTGTCTTCCAATGTCTCCCAGTCTCTCAGTGGGATCCTTCCTGGATGGTACTGGTGAGGCTTCTAAGAAAGCATTGACAGGGACTTCTGAAAATTCTTTCTGTGAGTAGTATCATGACTGCCTGGCATTCTGTCCCTTCACAGATCCATGAAGGTTCAAGTATGAGGAACAGAACCTTTCTCAGGTGATCAGTAGTCTGTGAGGTCCTTCTGCCCTTTATTCCCCCACCAGCTCCTATGTAGATGAAGTCAATCCCACCCTCCGTAACCTGCTCCCATTTGCATTGCACTGACCCAGGTAGAAAGAAACTCACAGTTTTCTTGTGGTCCCAAAGTATCTGATGACCCCTGATGAGGCTCTTGTAGGGGCACCTTGGTCTTGTGGGTGCCAGCCAGGTCTGGATGGCCAAATCAAGGGTTACTGAATGGTTGTTTAGGCTGTCTGAGTCTAGCTTGGAGTGTTTCCAGTTCTGATAGGAAGATCTCTAGGGCTCTTCCTATAGGAAGAGGAAATTTGTATAGGTGGAGATCAGAGTGGCTTCTGGTTGTGTCCCTGGCCTCTGAGAAAGAGAGGCTGTTGGGAGCAGATCTTGGGGTACTACAAGGACACTGTGGTCTGTGGGAAATGCTGTGTTGGTTTAGTGTCAGTCAATGTGCCTCAGCGGTCAAGATTCATTTACAGACCCTTAGGTGCCAGCGGCTCTAGACCCACTGTTGTTTGGAGCTGATGCATCTGCTGGGGCCAAAGTTTCCTACTGGGTTTTTGCTGCTGGGTGAACCACTGTGGTAGCTACCATAATTATCACAGTAGAACATCCCTTCACAAAAAGCCCTGCCTGTGGAAGGGGCTAGGGCTCTGTAGGACTAGGGTCCAGTGGCCGCACAGGTATCGGTGCAGACTTGAGCTATACTGGGCATAAGTCCAGCCTTCTCTCCTGGGCTTGTATCTCTCCAGGAAGGCCCTGGCAGGAACCTGGGTCTGAGGCTTCCACAGAAGTGTCTTCCAATGTCTCCCAGTCTCTCAGTGGGATCCTTCTCGGATGGTGCAGGGGAGGTGTCTAAGGGAGGCGGCAGGGACTTCTGGAAAGTCCGTTTTGTGAGTGTCTTCAGGACTGACATGGTGCCTTTGTCCCCTGGAAAGGGTGATGGTGATGTGTTGAGACCCTGACATGTGTGCTGAAGAGCAAGGGCAGAAGCCACACCCACTGTCAGGAGGGAAGCCTGCCACTGTGCTTTGAGGCATGCCTGCCCTTTCCTCTTTGAACACCCGGAGAATACTCTTCCTATACAGACTGGTTGTCTTTATGTTTGTCTGTGAGGAGCAGTTGCTCTTAGAATTGCCTTTTTTGGTGCACAGGCACTTTTGTGAAGTCATGACAGCTTTTTCTTAATGGTCTCCTTCCTAGTCACCTTCTGTTCCTGGGGCTCATCCTAACATTTCGTACTGCCTGGCAGCTGGGGCCTGACCCTGGGACATAGGGACACAAGCCTTCCTTTCTCCTCTCCTCAATACTTTGCTCATAGGATTGTCAGGGGTTGAGTGAGACAGGAAACTACTAAAAGAACTTTATTTTTAGCTTGTTGGTCCTTCCCATCCTCAGCACTGAAGCTGAGCCAAACGTGTTGTTCTGGGAGATGCTCTACCCTCCTTCTGTTTTTCATATTTCATAAGGAACTGAGTTATATTTAGCATTCTATGAGACACCAATGAGAATAGAAGAAATTAAAAATCAATCTCACATTCAATTTTAAAGAACTCCAAGACGGTAAAAGCACACAGTTTGTATCCAATATCAGAAATATGAAATTACACATTTTTTTTCAATGCACAGAATATACTTTGGGTGCTTCCTATCACAAGGAGATAGTCTGAGTAGCTGAAATCTTTCCAATCTGAAGACTCCAACCTATGATGTTCTGCTGTTTTCACAAATGCCAACCTTGAACTCTATAGGCAAGGCCAACAATACAGAAAGTCCTTCTTGGACAAGGGAGGCTCTGAGAAAGTGTGATGCTGGCCCTGAAAAACAAGTCACCTGACCTAGTGTTCACGTGACATAGTTCTGCCGGTGCAGGAGGGCCATATAATCAAGGAGGCAATTATATTCAGGCTATAATTTTATAGCCTAAAAGAAAATCAGACAATAAATTCATAATATACTACTAAGCATTTTTTAAAGCAATGTGTACCTTTTGGTGAAGATGCCAAAATTGTAATTAGGATTTTTAGAAATAAAATGCGAGATGCATTTGAAGTTCATAAAATGTATGAATTACCAACTAATGACATACACCCAAATTAATTCTGTCTAGCCTATCTGGGATAAATAAATCAAACAAACCCCGAAACTAGAACATACAAAGAAACATTTTAATAGCTGTAGACATCAGAAAAGGAAAAAGTGTTTTGGGCATGCAGTCTTTCCTTACAAAAGTCTTTGGATGTAAAAGACACTACATTAGTAAAGTAAGAAACAGGAGGGAAAAAGATCGATACATCTGAAGAGTTTAATATCTTGATAATTCTATTGTTTCTAAAGCCTTCCACAAAGGGGTAATACAGTTCTTCAGTTTATTACAAACACATGTTTTAAAAAGTCAGCCATAATATTGAAGCTATAAGACTCTTTTTTTTTTATATAACAAAGTCCAATTAAATGAAAACAAACATTTATACACAATATTTGGGAATTTGGGCGTCGTTCTTTCCAAACTACTTCCTGCTGGTAAGGGGCGCTGTCAAGACTCTTTTTTTTTTAAAAATTATTGGCACTATACAGTAAAGCACAAAGAAATTTAAAATAAAACAGGGCAATATTTCATTGGACAGTACAAATAATAGCTTTTCTCTGTCTTTAAATACACAATGATGATATTCACAGGCTTGTTTCTAAACAAATGTACATTAAAAATGGCAAAAGTCACGGTTTGCTCAAGAACACTAATGTTTACATACCATGCTGGTTGTCTTACAGCAGATACTTAGCTTGCCAAGCTTCAGGTGGTAAAATGCTAAGCTGTTGGGTTTGCAATTGTCCAGCTGGGTGTTCCCTACTTTGGAGATTCTGGGGCATGTGCCATCGAGAGATCATCCTGCTGCCACCAGGATCCACTAAGAGAGAGCCTTCGAGTCCTTAAGATGCAAGGCCTAGCAGAAAAGAAAGCCTCCTACACAGCTACTGTATATCACAACATTCTGCTTGATAAATTCTGTTGCTTCTTCAATTACATTGCCCATTTTGGGTGCTGCTGCTTTATCTGCTCGTTTCTTAATCTGTCCTTTGTTTTTGCTCTGTTTACATCTTTTCCGACTCTCTTCCAGTCGATCCGCACATAGCTGCTGTGTCTCCCAACCTGCAGGAGAAGAAAGCCAATGCCTACTGCACTTGCTGCAAAATAACCAACATTCTGGAATAAACATCCTGCACATCAGCCAGTCATATTGCCCATAACAATCTGGGTAGCTACTGACTATTTTTCCACCATAGGTCCCGAACTGTGGCCAAATACTCAATTCCACCAGTGGTGTCATCTTGCATACTCAGTTAAATCCAACACTTTGTAAGACTCATCACCGGTTTCATAGTCATGGGGAGGGC